GGAGATGAGGCCGGATTTTGAAGCATCGGCCCTGGCCGCCAGAGCCGGCCCTCTCCATTGAAGGCACTCTTGGAGGGGCCGAGGGTTGGCGGAGCCTGCTCCCCAGGGAGCGCTGAGTCCCGGAGGTGGTCGTTTCTGGGGAGGGGGCCGTGGGGCTCATCCCACCTGCCCCCTTCTTTCCAGCACTTGCATGGCGCTTCCCTCCTTTTTCACTCTTCTCTATCTCCCACACATTGCATTTCTCCTGCTTTCCCCTTTTCACTGGCCTCCGTCCTCTATTCGTCCTCCACTCCTCCCTCCCATCCCCTGGTGAGCCTACCTTAGGTATTAGGATCTGAACCCCATCCTCTCCCGATGTGTAGATTTTGTTCACTAACACTCAGGCTACCCTGATGCCTCCACTCCCAGTCCTGACTCTTTTGAATTGTCCCAGGAGGGTGTCCCACCTCTGGCCCACACAAACAGAGGCCAGGCTGTGACTGTGTGACCAGCAAGGTGTGTGGTGTGTGTGGGCGTGCACACAGGTGTGAGAGTGTAAGAGTGGCTCCCAGGCATGGGGTCAGACATGGGACAACTGGGAAGGGGGTATGGGAGCCGTGGGGCAATCTGATGGCTGTTTTCCGTCTCCCTTCCTCCGGCCGGCCCTACTGGCCTGAACCAACATGGTGGGCGTGGGGCAGGAGTGGATGAAGGCTGCCTCCTTCCCAGAGATTTCCAGGAAAAAAAGGATTCTACTTCATCCCTTGGCTTTGCCTTCTTGATCAATGGCCCTCTCTTAAGGAAGCTCACTCTGATAGCTAACTCAGTCTGCCCTCTTTCCACTGGCCATGTTTTCTGAGGAAGGACACATCAGACCAATAGCATCCATGTATGTTTCCAGATGGCTGGAAGGTAGGGCCATGGGTCTAGCCTCCATGAACCCAAAATGAAAGAGTTGGGGCTTACTCTGTGGTGACCCGATGACCAAAGCAGATGGGGTAAAGCAGGAAGCATGGTACTGGTCAAGAGCGCTGGACGGGAGTCCAGAGGTTCTGGTTCACCCTGGGCCTTTAAGCAAGTCACTCACCCTTCCAGGGCTTCAGTTTCCCTTCTATCAAATGATAATCAATGTTCTGCCTTTCTCCCAGGGTTGGTGTGGGGATCAAGGGAGACAGTGGCTAGAGTGATGCTGCATTAACTGCAAATGTGGCTCTAGGAGCACTTGGCTAACTTCCAATGTGAGTTCAGATTCTTAAGGGTATTTGACATGCTGAGGTGTGGCATATGGGAACTGGAAGATCTGGTATCTGCTCTGACTGCAGACTCGCTAACACATGGGCAATATTTGGCAAACCATAGCCCTGCCTCGGGGAGGAGAGCAATCTCGGGGAGCTTCAAGGCAGCTTGACTGCAGTGAGGTCTGGGAGGCTGATTAAGATAAGGCCCAGGTAGTAAGCAATTGGGGGGCATTTGGGTTGGGAAAAGCAGTACGGGCAAAGGCTTGGTGTGGGATGCACTGAAGAGAGCCACTGGCCAGAGCGGAGGGCAGATAGAATGAGGAAGAATAAGCAAAGGTTGCGTGGGTATGGTGGGGCAGGTTGGAGAAACTTCAAAGTCCACAGAAGAGTTTAACTCATTGGGACTCAATGCTGTGGACAGCAGGGAGCCATGGAAGGCTCTTGGGTGCAGAAATGACAGCTGGACCCTAAGAAAGCAAAGCCTGCCCCTTATGGAGCATTGCAGGTGGCCCTCTGAGCACACCAGGCACGAGTGTGCAGGGAGCTGGTGCAAATGCCTCCTGTATGTGGGCGAGCTTCTGTGCTGTGACTCAGCCCACGCGTGCGCTTCAGTGTGCCAAGTGGCTGCATGCCCCAGGTCTGTGCTGCACGTGCTGGCCAGTGGGAGTGCTGGGCAGTGGGTAGTGGGGGAGGTGTATGTGTGTTGTCTGTGGGCATGTGTGTCAGTGTGTGCATGCAGGGCCTTGGGGCCTCATAGCATGTGTGTGCACGCCCGGGCGTGTGCGTGTGCGTGTCCCCCACCCCCAGGCCTGCCCCGTCTGTGCGTGTGAACTGCCATGTTGATTTCGTGCTGTCTTTCAGAATCACTATCAGTGACCCCTGAGGAGCGTCAGCCACGGTAGGTACATGCCTCTCGGCCTGCTGCATGAACGATGTGTTTGCCCCCTGCTGCACCAGCTCCACATTGGGTGGCATACTTGGGACCTCAGAGCCAGGCTCCCCTCCCTCTCCCTTCTGCAGCTCCAGACTTACTCTTCCTTCTTTCTGTCCTCACTGCCAGCTGGCTCTCTCACCTCCTTTCTCAGCGAGCCTCGGGACTCAGTGCCACTGCTCAAGACCTCCATGGCTGAGCCTAGGGAGCTCTTGGGACAGGCTCTGCACCCAAGCTGGCAGACATGGGTGCTCTCCGGAGCTGTCAGAGGGCAGAGAGCTCATGGTTTATGGTGTAGAGGCAGGGAACTTGGAGGGACTTGTGTGTGGGGCTGGACTTGGGCAGCCAGAGTTCTTGAACATCACCCTGCGGGTACCATAATCATTCCCCAATCTGAGCCATGCTGCTGGGGCAGGGCAGCTAGCTCGCTGCCTGGTAGCTCTGGGAACCAAATCCACAATAGGGCAGAGGAGGTCAGAGTCCCACCTCTATCGTGCCAGGAATTGAACAGCGATATGGGGCGAAGGCTCCGGTTGTTTGATGATTTCTGAAAGCCTGAAGGTTCTGTCCACGCCATCAGCCCAGAACATATCTCACAGGCAAGGCAGGGTCCCACAGTCCCTTCCCCTACCTCCTTGGTATTGTCGCACTTGCTAGTGCTCAACTGAACGCAGCATCTTTGGCCCCAGAGAAATCACCACCACCCCCAGTCCATGGGCTCATAGACCTGGGCTTGTTGCTCCTAGGGGTGACCTATACTCTTCAGCCAAGGGGATGACGGTATCTGCTGACCTGGGCAAGTCAGCTTCTCTGAGTTCCATCCTGGCTGAGTCACAAAACTCACCCAGTGAACCTGCCTGCCACTCTGCCCCTGCCACTGACTCTCACTCTTCTGCTTTTCCCCAGCAGGAAGGGCCCAGCCTCACCTACGCGACCTGCGGTCCCTCGACCAGCTGAGGCTCCCCTCTTAGACTTATAAATCTATGGCCACTGGCATCCGGCTGCCTGCCCTCCCTGCCTCCCCAGAGTCCCTTCAGAGGACTTCGGGGCTTTCTGCCCGCACCCAGAGGGGCCTCCAGTGCTCCCTCCAGCCATCCTTTTAGCTTTGCCCTCCTGGTTCAGTGTTCTTTCTCCTGTCTTTTCCATTGGGCCTGGTGGCTGCTCCATGGGGCTCGCAGCCCCATACTCCCTACAGCTAGTGGTGGCCCTGAGCCAGTGGGTTGAAAGACAAGGGGACCAGAGAAGAGGGAAGCCAGAGGGAGCTGCACATGTGTCTGGAGCTGTGGGTGCACTGCCTGGTGGTGTGTGAGAGACCAGCGTGCGTGGCAGGGGGAGGGCTGCCCCAGCCTCCTGCCCTGACCCCACCCCAGACCCCTGTGAAGCTCTGGCCCACGCCCATCTCCAGCTCCTCCCTTCCTCGGCTCTCTCCTCTATTCCAGAACCCTTGCCCACACCCTCACCTGCTTCTTTCCCCCTGCCCTCCCCTCCCACCCCTGCCAGACCTGGCCTCCCTTGCCTTACCAGCTCTCTCCCCCTCCTTCTCTCTCCTGTTCTCTCTTTGCCTTCTCTCCAACTGCCAGCCGATCGGGTCAGGCAAGTCCATCCCGTCCTGAGAGCCCCAGGCCCCCCTTCGACCTCTAACCAGACCCCTTCTGTTCCTCGGAGACCTCCCTTGCCAAGCCTGCCTGGACGGCTGCTCTGTGACTTGACCGTGGCTCCCCTGCCCCAAAGCCTCCCCCTTCATCTGTGACTTAGTCTGTTGTAGTGGTGAGCTGACATACCCAGCGTGATGTTGGTGAAACTTGTGCCCCTCTGTGGTATTGCTCCTGCCCGTTCTATAAATATCTATAAATACTCATACATATATATATATATATATATATAAAACACACACACACACACACACACACACACACACACACACACACACACACCGCCGCCATAGCCTCGCCTCTAATGCTGGAAATCACCGTGCTGTCCTTGGAGTCTTGTGGCCCAACTACAAGGGAACACTGTCACCATATCCCCTTCTCCAAAGTGTGCCACCTCCAATGAGCCTCCCTGTCATGCCCAGCCTGTGGACAGCCAGCCCTCCTCTGCCACCTTCCTATCCCTCCCCCGAGTGTGGAGGTACTGTACAGGCAGCTGGGTGGTTCTCTGACTGCCACCAGTCTTGCTGTCTTTTGGCTGACAATAAAACCCATTTCTGGACAATGGGGAACAGTGTGTCCTCTGCTGGCTTGTATTCTCTGTGGCAGTCAGGGAGAGGTGAAGGTTTAAACATTGGGGTGCAGGGATGGGGAAGGGACCGACTATTGCTAGGGTGCTGTAAGGAGTGGTGAAATAAGGCTCCATCCTTTCCAAGGCCTGCTGGGAAAACACCTGCAAGTTAGCAGGTCCTCATCTTGTGAACCCAGCTCTGGCCAGTAGGGTTAAGGGGCACCAGCTCAGCCTGCAGGGATGATGCGGGGTATGGGCGGGCACTGTAGAGGCCACCAGAGAGGGCAGGGTCATGGAATGAAAACAACCTTGCCTGGAAGTCAGCTTTCTGGAGTGCTGGCACCCTGCTTTCCCTCCCCAAGTTTAGGTTAGGCTTCTGAGTCTCGCCATTAGGGCAGGACTGCCCTTAGAGCCCCATGGCGATCCCCTTGGGGTCCCTCAGGCTTCACCAAGCAGCATGCAGGCAACAGGCCCAGATCTCTTAACAGCCCACTGGACATGCTCAGACACACTGCAGTTCCGCACAATGCAGAAGCCTGCCCTCTGCTGGCAGGATCTGCTCCCTGCTCAGTACCCACTGCAGGGAACTGAGGACCCAGCGACCTGAAACAGGAACACGCAAGGCCAAGCAGTATCACTAAATCCATTTATTCCGAAATAAAAAACAAAAACAAGAGTGATATCACCCGGGCATAACCCTCATCGCTGTCTCCATCTGTCTTCTTTCAATAAATAACTTTCCCCCCACCCCCAAATATTTAATACAAATAGCCCATTTGCCAGCTCCAACCTCTTGTTATATAATACAGGCGGCTGCCTACTCCCGAATATATAAATTGTTACAGATAATATATACACTGAGGGTGTATATATACACCAGCTTATGCCCGTGCCTGTGAGCCCCAACCGTCCCAAGTGCTGCCCAGGTGTCAAACTGGGCGAGGGGGGCACTTACACCCCAAAGTGCCTCTCAATAGAGGATGCAGGGGCTTCTTGGTGGGGGTGAAGAGGAGCCTCCTAAATAACAATAACTACCTTTATTTTTCTGGGACTGTTAGCCCAGAGGTTATTAAGACAGCCCTGGCCAGGGTGCCCAGGAATCTATAATGTATCTCCCCTAGATGGGCAGGGAGCTCATATGCCCCTTCCTTAGGGGTCCGATCTTACTAATCCAGGGGTAAAAGGGTAACCGGGAAGGTGTGACAGGGAAGGGGTAACGGGAAGGAGTAACCAGGAAGGAGTGACGGGAGGGGTAACCGGGAAGGTGTGACAGGGAAGGTGTGACAGGGAAGGGGTAACCAGGAAGGTGTGACAGGGAAGGGGTAACCGGGAAGGAGTGACGGGAGGGGTAACCGGGAAGGTGTGACAGGGATGGAGTAACGGGAAGGAGTAACCGGGAAGGAGTAACCAGGAAGGAGTGACGGGAGGGGTAACCGGGAAGGAGTGACAGGGATGATGGGTGGGGATGGTCCAGGCTTGGTGTGTTAGGTGTTACACAACCATTATCTTGACTTCGTTTTGCCCATCGGCCCGATAAAAAAAGGGGATGCAGGGGTTGTTGCCCAAGCCTGGGCGCTCCTGAGGGCTCTGCATCTCCCGGATCAGCTGCATTATCTGCTGCGCAGTGGGGTTCTCAGGGGTAGCCAAGCCCCGACTGGCCTCGCCCTGAACAGGCTCCCCACTGCCAGCGAGGCTCACTTCATGAAGATCTTTGGAGAAAGGGAGGCAGGGCTCAGAGCGCTGTGCGAGCCGAGCTCTTGACTGCCCACCTGCCCGAGGGCTCAACTCACCATTCGGGCTGTCATCAGCACCAATATCCAGGGCGGCTTGGGGCGCTGGAGTGGGCTCCCCAGCAGAGTTCTGGGCAACCGCCAGGAACTTCATGTTCCATTCATTACGCTCGTCCACGAGGCGTAACACTAGCTCCTGCAGCTCCAGGAGCTTCACCTGGAGGGAGAGGCGCTCAGCACCCACACCCCCACTACTGCCCCACCTGCAGAGATGGTCAGGGCCTCTACCTTCATCTCCTCTTTGTCCTGAGCCAGCCGGCTGATGTATTCCTCCTTCTCCCGGTGCCGCTGCTTTAGCACAGCTCTCTGGCTTTGGTACAGGGCGATGTATTCCCCTGTGGAGTGCGGGGGGGGGGG